GTTGAGCGTTCACACAGGAGCAGGTTTGCTGTCGCATTTTATTTGTAGTGTGAACAAGCAGACAAAAAGATCGGATTTGATCATTAAGACCTGCAGTGTGAATGCAGCCTAAAAGTGTCCCTAAGAGTAAAAGTCGTGTCATGGGAGCACCTGTGAGTGCTCTTCTCTTAGGAGGTATTTAGGAATCGTGCATCCAGAGCTCCATCACAGGCCCACTCACATATAATGAGTTACAGACACTGATCTTGATGCATGTTGAGGTTTAGGGCTGGTGTGAACGTGACCTGCAGTGACCTCTGCTCTCCTCGTGCTGTTTCAGGGGGTTCCTGGAAGCCCCGGAGGTCCAGGGAGGGAAGGACCTCCAGGACCCAGAGTGAGTCATAACAGACACACTAATAATGCAGCTGTTTGACAAGTTTGTTGATACTACAAATATTAACAGTCAGTAAACCACTGGGATGTTGTCAAATACTAATATGAATAATATAACCTGTAATGTAGATATTTTATCATCTTCACCTCTGATACTGTTTATATGAGTACTACTGTAGTAACACTGTTATATCTGTAAACTGTCTCTGCTCTCAGATGTTGAATTTGAGGCATTGGATTGATTTTAAATATGTTAATTTGGGGCAGGAGCAACAATGAAGTACAAAAGAGGTGCGATGCTTTAGAAAATGACACGTTAATGCACGGCATGGCTCCACGGAAGGACGAGTGGAAAAGAAACAGAAGAAAGATAAAAGTGTCCTAAAAAGTGCAGAGGTTGAAAAAGGGAGACAGTCGAGCTGCTGTCAAATGAACAAAAAGACCCTCACAGAGCGAAGCAGCATCTGTGGCCCTGGAGCGCCCCCCTCTGGCCACAGTAGAGTCAGCATCACAGCCAAGGCTGGAAAGAGCGAGACAGCTGCTGGCTCAAAGTCATCGGAGGAACTCTTTAATCCTTTTTTATTATAACATCTACTTTCACCTTCTCAGGGACTGCCAGGCAAAGATGGCCCCCCAGGCACACAGGGCCCCCCAGGAACCATCGTAAGTCACTGTTGCTGGTTTTGAGAATGTTTCGGAGGATTCAGAGGAGGATATATGTGCATGCAATGCCTGCAGCTTCTCTGTTAGGCACTTAAATGTAAAGTTTAATTAAAACTGCGACTTTAGGTGATAGTGATGGAACTGGGTCAAGCTGGGCAGGGCTAATAAGCTCAGTCATGCGTGTACAACAGGAACAACTTTATAATAATTAAAATAATATAATTAAAATTTGCTTTTCATTTCTTCAGGGAACTCCAGGAGCTCCAGGATCCCCAGGAAGTACAGGCCCTCCAGGAAAGCAGGGAGAGCTGGGCCCACCGGTGAGTCTGTCAATGAGTGGAGCTGCCTGTCCCCATTAACCAAACGGGCCGGGGTGGGCGGGGTTTTTAGCTCTTAGAAGGAACGCCATCATTTGTTTTATGAGCATGAGCTGCTGCATGTGAACAGAGACGCAGGAGGCAGCGGGATGTGTTGTCAGCAGATCCATCACTGGTGCTGACGGCTCCTCTTTCTCTCATTCTGTTTGTACATCAGGACTTGTGTAATGTTGCTGTGATGACTCGGTGGCAGGAGTCACAGTTCACTCAAAGTCATTTTGTTCTCACTTAAACGTGTTTATTTCTGCTGTGAATGTGGAAGCATTTGGAGCCTGCCTCTAGTGTTCAGAAGAGGAACTGCACGT